GAGCGGGAACCGGTCTGTATGTGGGATCCGAACCCTCGGCGGGAGCGCCACCATGCTCCCAGCGGTGCACTATATCAGTGCGCCACCGGGCCGGCCCCCCAAGCATTTTTATTACTGAAATTTACGTTGATCATTTGTCTCTCAGACTTCATTTTTGTCGCTCTTCCAGGATATTCTCTACACTGATCTGACAGTGCCATCACTACATAATTCCAATTACATTGGCCTTCAAGATAAAGCACAAATTCTTCACTGTATCACTCAGCCTCCCACGGTCTTCTCCCCAGCTCTCTCCAGCTATCTGTCACCTGCTCTACTGTACCTATGTTAAGCTATACAGAGTCAAATGTAGCTCTCAGTTGGCACGACGCGTTTTTACACCTTTGTGCCTTTACTCATTGGGGCTGCTTTCTCCTTTATTAGCCTGCAGAAGCTAGTGTAAGGACCATCTCCCCTAGGATGCCTCTTCCATATACAGAATTGATCACTCCGTCATCTTTTAAAGAGAGGATATTGTAGGAACTAGATCTATTTATAGGTAATATAATAGCAGCTGTCATTGCACATTCTTACACTCAGTTGTCTATCTTGGTTTCTATGGTTTTAAAATTGTTCATAATTATACTTGAGACTATGGTATTCATATCTTCATTTGTAATAATAATATGACACAGAGTGCAAATAATGAAAAAGCATACCCCACAAAAACATTGCTCACTCTAAATGCTTAGGTATTTCTTTATAATCAGTGGATCAAGAAGTTTGCAGGATTCAAAACCAAATTCAGATAAAACAAGTCAAACTATATACTAGATCGTGAGCTCCACTAAGATAAAATAAGTCATAGTAAGATGTGTAGTTCCAGAAGACAACCAAAGTCCATGAAGAGCTGGGTACTTCTTTTTTTTTTAAAGAAAATGTAATTGTATTAATATTATTTTTTACATTCTAGGATGTTGTTGCAGAGCAGCTGGGAGGGAGGGGGAGAGGGGAAAGGGGAAGGAAATGGGATGGAAGAAGGAAGAAGGAGGAGGGGCAGGATTGAGGCCTGTGGCACCCCCCCTCATTCCCACAGGGGAGATTGAGAGGCTTTCAGTGGTGGCTTGGTCATTGTCAGGCTGGGTGCAGATGTCAGGGGGGTGTGGCAAAAGCCCTCATCCCCCACCATCCCAGCTTGGGAACCCAGGACCCTTATTGCTGTGGTTTTGTGGTCATTGCTGGGCTGGCTGCACACGTCAGAGGGGCATGGCCGAGGCCCGAGGCCCCTCACTGCCCTGGCTCAGGAGAGCCCAGGGTGCTTCCTGTGGTGGCTCAGTGGTTGCTGCTGGGCTGGCTGCAGGTGTCGTATCCTATGGCAGCTTGGTGGTTGTTGCTGGGCTGGCTGTGCATGGGGGAGCATGGCCAAGCCCCAAGGTCCCCCAGCACCCCAGCTGGGAAAGCCCAGGGTTCATCCTGTGGCAGCTTGGTAGTCGCTGCTGGGCTGGCTGCGTGTGTCAGGGGGGCATGGTCGAGGCCCTCATCCCCCACTCTTGGGATTGGTTGCAGGTGTTGGGGGGCATTGCTGAGGCCAGGCCCCAGGCCCTCCCCACTTTCTGGCTTGGTAGCCTGGGGGACTTCCAGTCCTTCTAGGTGTTATAGGTGTTCTGTGGTGAAATGAGACCTTTACTGGTTAACATGAAACTTTGTCTCTGGTTGTGGGTACTTTGTTTTTTCTTTCATTTCTGTGTTG